GGCGGAGTCTGTCAATAATTTTTTGCATCAACCAATTAAATAACTACTCTTGGCCGTCAATCACATTTTGCATTAGCCATCCGCAGATTAGAACGAGCTGTCCGTCATTTCTTGCATTAGCCAATCTAAGGGTCTGTCTGCAGACCTGCACGCTCAGCCTGACCCGCACCGCCAGCCGTCAGCGCCGCTCTGACACAACAGGGCTTTTGTTGGGTTTAAGAGGAAAAACAGTGAAACATGAACTGCTGAGCAATAAGAGTCACACTGAATGTGTATGAACGCTGTCACGGTGATTACGAGGTAATTAAATATGGAAACTTTCACAATAAAACCGACCACGACGATAAAACATGATGGCGGGTTCAGTCGCAGAAAAAAACAAACAGGCTACTGAAACTCATGAAAGCCGTGCTGAAGACCATCAGAACAGTTAGGAATAAAACCTGATGGTTTTGCTTCCTAACGGGAATTGGCTTGATGGTTGCCTTTAGAGATCTTAAGGAAACGATCAACTGCATATGGAATCAGTCCCAGAACAGATTAAACGATCGGAGTCCTTTACACTGTGATATTAATCCATCAGGAAAACACAGAAGACCATTAGCGACTACTGGACACCACCACACTTTTAATGGGTTCTATGACTTTTTTCAGCAGGGAGGTATTAAATGTCTCTCTAGCCTTGTTCTGGACGGAAAATGGATTTAGTGATGAAACCGCTAAGCAGAAGCGGCCAAACGTCACCATGTCTGGGTGTTGTGAGAAGGGGAAATTCTGCAGACCGGAGACCTAAAATGATCATGAGCACAAAACACGGAGAAAAGTTCCATTAGGAACCAAGTGGAATAACTTTTTGAGAACAAGCGAAGTTTAGGTGGAATCAGTGTTTGAATAAACTCAGAAAAAGACACCACACCAGTCAGAACTGCATATGTGCTCATATTTCTATACTGTGTTCATGTGTTTACCCACAGAGTCAGGAGGTACATGTTCTATCAGTTCACTGATGCTTTTATGTGTGATGGTCAGTCAGTGTTTGCATGAACTCCATCCTGCTTAAACAACAGTTATAATAATGTGTTGATCTGAAATAAGAAATTAGGTGACATTTAAGGCAACTTCCTATCCTCCCTCTTCCGCGTGCCTGAACAGTATGTAACGCCTTTTTGCACTTTCCTTCAAACCATTGGCTGATGCATAAAATGAGTGACAGGTAATTCACATTTGTGATTGGCCAATGCAAGTTTTGATTGACAGCCCATCTCTGTTATATGATTGGCCGATGCAAGAAATGATTGACAGTGTCTCCGCCCATTCGTTACGCCCACTGGTTATCCGGGCCTGCAGATACATATACTTGAAAGCCACAGTAACATTACTGAGCAAAGCACGAAAAAGACGGGAAGAAGAGATCGAGACTCGCGAGCGCCTTTATTCGAGACTTTGATGTCGGTAAGTTTACTTTCACATTACATTCTCATTAAAACCTGCGGGAAATAAGCACATGGCTGCTCGACAGAGCCGGTCCGTGGCAGCACAGCGGTAACCCCTGCTGAATAAAGACCATTAGAACCATTAGGATTAAATGGTTTTGCCTCCTAATAGGAATCGGCTGAAGTGTTACCATTAGAGATCACTGGCTATGTTTACATGCAAAGATTTTTGCCAATCCGATTGAATACAATCCGATTACAGATTCAGACTGAGGTGTTTATATGCACACTCTATTCAACGATTTGATGGAAAATCTTCGTTTACATGCTCACTACAAGTAATCCGATGCAAAATGACGCGCATGCGTGGAGTAGCGTTTAGAGTAAACGTTACCATGACAACGAACATCACGTGAGGTCCAGTCCGCGTGATATGAGTTTCCAGTTGGCGCGCTTGTGTTTTAATTGCTTTAAAATGATGTCAGACGTGCTTCACATGTCCTTATTAAAGAAGGCCGAGAGGAAGACGTCGTGTTCTGAGACACATAAGCTGGACGTCCGTCCCACCGCCGTCTTTTAAAGATCAGAGCATAAACTTCGTCTCCTCTGCAGACCAGTTTCTGCTCCGCCATGCTGAACGGTATAAACTTTCGCCGTGACGAGACTCACATGCGCAGAACATACTTACACGTTCCGATTGGAATGTAATCGGATTCAGGCGTTTACATGGCTATTATTCTTCTATTTAACGGATTATTTAGAAGTTTACCCACCTCGTTCAATCGGATAGAAATTGTATTCCGAATGGCCTCAATCGGACTAGTCTATTCCGATTGAGGTGTTTACATGGACGTGTTCTATTCCGATTGAGCTATTAGTCGGATTATTAACAGATTATCAGGCTGCATGTAAACGTGGCTACTGGCTAACTTGAAGAATTAGAAACGTATCTGGAGTCAGTCACCAGGTCACCCGTTAAACCATTAGGATCCTTTACATTATCAACCCATCAGGAAAAGCCAAAACACATTACAGCCCCTCAGGAGCCACAGACACTCTTAATGGTTCTGTGTTTTCAGTCTGTTCTAACTGCAGGGTTCTTATAACCACTGTTGAAAATGTCCATTGTGCCTCTTCAGAACACTTTGAAGCTGGATGATGAACCTGGAGAAAGCTTTAGCCATTGAGCAGTGGAACCTGTTTTACTCAAATGACTGTGAGGTAAATTTTTACACTTCTTTGGTAGTGAAATCTTGTTTAATGGAGAATAATTCAAATAAGTTCTTCCTTGAATAGGAGCCATAATGAGTGACCACTATGAACGTATTTATTTATTCATTTTAACAACAGGGAGCACCTCGGCAGTTCAGGAGCAATGACTGTGGAGTGTTCATGCTAATGGTAAATGATGAAGCACTGCCTATAATAATTTTCCATGCATTTCTCTTAATATGTAATTAAACACAAATTTGCATTGCAGTGTGCACTCTACATTGCTCTCTCAGGGCCATTTACTTTAATGAGGTTAGATCTCTCCATCTGTTTATATGTACTGCTAACAAAATGTAATTTTTTAGGTTAGCAATTTCACAATCAGCTTTTATAAGAAAAATGTCTTAGTTTGGTCTATAATGTTGTAGGCATACTATTGTCTAAGGCATACTTATTTTTTTCAGTTGGACATGCCAGCTATCAGAAGGTGGTGGAGCATCCAGCTGCTGGAGAAGTTTCCACTCAAAAGGCATGACATACATTTTTTTATAGTTGGGACGAACATGATTTTCACCTGTTTTTCAATTAATTTATTAGATGCCTCAGTTCCAGTGGAATAAAGTTGCAAACAATATAATTAATTACAGATTAATTTCCTGACTTACAGCCTGGTCGTACATGATACCCAGAACACTGAGAGCCAACATGAACCCATCCACGGACACAGCTGTGAAACACAGCCTCATGAACTTATGGTATGTAGGAATTGCTGTAACAAGGACCTTTGCAGCAGATTTTATATGTACCTTTTTATTAAACATATCCGCATTACAACTTTCAAAGAAGCCTATGTTTAAAAATTAGTTTATGTGATCACTATGTGCTTGCATACTATTTTAAATTTGTAATTGCTTTAGAAGTATTTAGTATATGATTAAAATATGAGTTCAAAAATTATACATAGCAAGCTTGCTATTTTCATACAGTGCATTTTTTGCAATCATCATGGGTAACAATAATTATGGAATTAGAATTCTCAATTCCCACCATTTTTCTTTTAATACAGGAGTCACGGATGATGAAGTTTGGATGATGAAGTTTGGACTATGTCAAGTTTGCCCTCCTCCCATTCTGTCTAAGGACAGAGACAAAGCTCTCGAGGCAATTAGTCTTCATGCCGTCCTGTATGAAACAGAATTTCTAAATGATCTGAAGAGGTGGATTTTAGAGCTGTACTGTGTCAGTCTTCGTCGTCTTCCTAATATGTCTTGAAACATTAAAAGGTCACGCAGACTTGGGTGCTGCTGTGCTGTGCAGATGGAGCAAATGCAGCTACTGTTCATCAAAGTGTGCTGGATTATACTGCCTGTGGAATTCAGTTTTCTTAGTTCCTTAGAGTCTTATAATAATGAGAAAGTCTGGTTTATAAGCTTTATTTTGAAGGTTACCACCATCACTGGGATTTTGAATGTGGTTTCTTCTGTTATTTCATGTTGATCAAGGTTAACTTATCAAGTATTACAATTTAGTTGAGCTGTGGGGATAGATGCGTGTAGGGTTTCTGGCTACATTATAACAATTTCAGCATGTTATATTTTTCAACATGTTAAATTCCATACTTTGCTAAGATGATTACTTAATTTACTTAAATCATACAGACAGCTAACAAAAGAAACCTGCTGCGAATTTCAGATTATAATAGCTAAGCTATGGGCATATATACAATCTTATAATCTTGTCAGCTAAGATGCTTTTAGGACTTCCTTTTTGTATCATTACACTATCGACATGTTTGCCATATATATATATATATATATATATATATATATATATATATATATATATATATATAAGTGTGTGTGTGTGTGTGTATATATATATATATATATATATATATATATTATATATATATACATATATTGTTGTTGTTGTTATTATCATTATTATTCTTATTATTATAAACGGCTGATGCTGTTTGAAAACCTGGAAACTATCCAGCAGAAACAGTTCAAAAACAGCTGGTCAAAAAAAGGCTTGCACCACAAACGCACCAGGAATACAGTGTTCAAAGGCAACACTCCAGTCTGACTACAACCACCCGAATATCTAACTGCAGCCTCCTCACCAGACACACACACCCAGAGACCTCTGCTGAAAACATACAGAGACACACACACACAAATATAGATAAATAAAGCAAAAATATTGTAAAAGCATTACAATATGTGCGAATTATTTCCATGCAGATGTTTTTGCCAAAGCAGCAGGGCTTAAGGAGCCGTGCTGAACTGCGTGTGACGTTTCTTAATGTCTACAAGTGTTGCGCAGTAATGTTTGCGGTTTGCAGATACTCACCAGGACGTTGAGAGCGTTTAGCATAAGTGAAACACAAAACCACAGAACCAGTGGAAAAATACCAGACACGCCCTTTCCTGTGTAGGTGTGTGTGTGTGTGTGTGTGTGTGTGTTTTTGGTTGCGGGGTGGGGGGGGGGTAGACACGTCACGACGCTTGATGGTCATGTGATTCAAGTTCTTGGCGGGCAGTTTATAGTGGCTCACATAACCTATAGTCTCCTGTACTGAAGCAAATCTAGCAGCCAAATGTTTCTGTAAGTTTCTGGTGTTAATTTGCCATCCTGTCGATCATACTAAAGCAGTGCTTGGTTGTTAAGAGGTTCAGTATGTTTCCACATCTTTCAAATATTGTTCAGGTACACAGTAAGCTTAGGTAATAAGTGAATGGCTAAATCATGGCTATGTATGTTTGGTGACTTTGTAATTAAAAATCTCTTTTCTCTGAGCTAACAGTCTGCATGTGCTTTGAATTATAGATGACCCTTCACGCCGCCCAGGTTCCTGCAGAAGTATTGAAGACATCATGCACTTGTGTTGCAGGGAAGGCTTTCTGCAATCACCTTATTGCTCTGCTTTATCAGAGTGCCCATTACAGCACCATGGGCTTTAAAACAGTCCCTCTTCCTGTAGCCTGCACCAGCACCTTGCAAACTTGGCACAGGCCAAGGACTCAGGTAAAACTGAAGAAGGGCAGCATCATTTCCTTTTTGGTTCATTCAGTTCAATGCTCATAACTAGAATGTAACATTGTGCTTAATTCTAAATAATGATCTCCAAGGAATACAGCCAGAAGCAACAGGTGACATGGAAGTACGGAAACCCAAGTCCATCAGCAGAACAGGTGTGAAGTCCACACTTTATCAAGCATATCCAGGTGAGTTGATAATAGTATTTCTCAGAGAGTTCTGTATGGGCAAGATTCTGTGCTAGATCTTAAACAAATGAAAAATACGTTAAATATAATTTACAAAGGTGTTTAGTATAAATGAGCCAATCTGAAAAACAAAGCATTCTTTATGTAGTTCTGATGTTATACTGAGAAACAATTAGCGGGGATTTGCCTTTTAAGAACTTAATGCTGAATTCATATCAGCCATGTAATATATCTTGAAAAGTGAACAAGACAGATACATTGTAATTCACTTTCATTGTAATTCATGCTTAAAAATGTAAAATACAATTTCAAGTTTTAATTTAATGGCCTGATTATTTCCATGGAGGACACACTAAAAGTATTAATATGCAATACTTACCTGAGAAACAGTCTGAAGATAAATTCTTACCTGAGAAACATTCTGAAGGTACAGTACATACCTTTTTTTTTTTTTTAATAAAAAAAAGTCTAAAGCAGAGGTGTCCAATCTTATCTGCAAAGGGCCGATGAGCCTGCAGGTTTTCACTCCAGCCAAGCAGAAGTACATGTGATCAGTTGTTTGAAGACTGACCAATTGGTTAAACAAGTGGAATCAGGTGTGCTGCTGGTTGTTTAGAATGAAAACCTGCAGCCACCCCGGCCCTATGTGGCTAAGATTGGACACCCCTGGTCTAAAGGTATAAATCTTACCTGATAAACGGTCTAAGGGTACAATACTTACCTGAGAAATGAGCTGAAGGTACAATACTTATCTGGGAAACGGTCTGAAGGTACCATACTTACCTGAGCAACAGTCTGAAAGTTCACTGCTTACCTGAGAAATGGTCTGAAGATACATTATTTACCTGAGAACATATATACTAAGAAACATGGGAAAAAAACTGAGTAACAGTTCATACATGCCTTAGGATAACTTAAGTCTTCTGTTTTGTCTTTTGTTGTAAAGGTCCCTTTCCTGACCCTCACATATTGGAACTTGCAGAGAAACTGAGAAACATGCGCCCACAGCCTGGATTATGCAAGTCACTTCTGAATCGAGATGAGGAGCTGCTTATGGTAGACTCCAGATTTGGTCCTGTCCCATATGGCTCAGTTTTGTCATATCAGTGCCCACCTGAAAGTAACAACGAGTTAATCAGGCACCCAGATGCCCCACAATACCCACAACTGCCCATTGAGAATTACAGATTTTACTTTAAATTTGACTTCACACCCAACTACAAACAGAAATGTCACCTGGAAAGCATAAAAGTGACCACCACACAAGCAGCCATGATTGAAGAAACAACACGGGAGCAGTCTAGCTCACAGCTTTGGTTTGAGGTGCGCCGGCCCCGTGTCACAGCAAATAGGTTTCATGAGGCGTGCCATGTCCGTGGAAAATCTTCGTCTCAAGCCCTGGCAAAAAGAATCCTTAAAGGTACACCACAAACCCGGGACATGAGACGAGGACAGGAACTGGAGTCTGAAGTGTTAAAACAATACTCCAATGCATGGTATGTATCAGTACTACTGTGTGGATTCATCATCCATCCAGATGCGAGAGTTCATGACCCTACAGCATCACCATCGTTTGGACTGGCAGAGGTGAAGTGCTGCAACGTGGCATCAATCATGGAGCTTAAACATCTTAAAGTAGGTGGAGGTGAGGCCATGCTGAAACCCACTCACAAATACTACTGGCAGGTACAGAGACAGCCTGCCATAACTGGCCTTGAATGGTGTGGTGTCATCACAGATACTCACTCTGATGTCACCATTCAGAGGATTTGGCGGGACCAAGGACTTATAACATCCATGAAAGAAAACCTAGACATGTTTTATCATCACGTATACATGGATGTCTACCTAAATGAGAAAGTATAGATCTACTTAGTATAGATAGTAAATAGTAAATTCTCTTTGCAGTATTGTTTTTGTTTGTTGAAATATTGAATTTTCTGAATAAATTTGTATTCTTTATTTTGAATGTATGAATTTTGTCTTGGTTAAATGAAGCACATAAGCCATTGAGAATTATTTGAAAAAAATTGTTTTTGCCATTTGTTTACTGCATTAATTAGTTTTTATTAAGTGCACATAGAGAAACATTTGACCATTTAATTAACTTCAAAAATCAGATACTTTGGGTAAACATGTTCACTGAAGAAAGTACTAATATTTTTGGTCATGTTCTAAAGAATGCTTCAATTCTGATAACTGCAGATATACTGTTTACAATCAGTATAGTCAGAATACATTTTTTATTGGCCATACAATTGCAGAAAAGTCAGTCACTTAGAAAAAGTCTGTGACCTTGAATACAGCAGAAACAAATAGAAAGCACCAAGGACAAGTGGGTTAAAAATGTATCAGATTTAATATTTAAACATTTATTCTAAAATTGTGGACTGGAATAATTTAAATCCATTGAAATGACTTAATAGTAAGTTGAATTCATGTAGCGTTTTTCATATCCAGTGTTGTTTAACAGAAGCAACATCAACATACAAAAACATTCTGGACAATGATAAATGTAACATGAACAACTAGAAAGAAACTACAGTAACTCGAGTGAGAATGATAGAGTAGAAAAGTGGGTGGTTTAAGCTGAGCTTGTAAGAAGTTTTTGTACAGAGTCAATTAAAATGAAATACATTAATCTGCACTGAAATATTCTAAAACCTCAAAATGATTGAATAATTATACCCATTGATGAACACATGAGTTCAAACAGGTTTATCCTCCTTGATGTCCAGGGGACCCTGGTAGTTTGACATCAAGCAACCGATGGCCCAAAGTTGGTTGACTGAGCCGGTGAGGGGAAAGTGGGACAATCCTATCCCAGATGTGGTCCTTCACTCTTCAGACTGCCCGTTCCACCAGCACTCTTAGACGTGCTACTGCTTGTGTCTTTTCAGCATCTTCCATGCTGAATTGAGCAGACTTCTTGAAGGGGGGAATGATCAGGGTGGCCCCTACTTCTGCTAACATCCTTTCAATCTGAAAGCCCTTATCAGCCATCACTCCATCTCCTGGTTGCAGCAGCCTGGTGAAGTTAGATCTCCGAGTTACTTCCTGATCTGAGATAGATCCGTTGTAAAGCTGGGAAACAAATGTGATGATGCCACAGGGAGAAACCCCAACCAGTCCCTTGAATGTTGTGATTTTTATAATTTGAGAAGCTTTCAGATTGTAGGGTGAGTGATGTTGCTGTCTCCCAGCGGACCTCTGTGCAGTCAATCAGCACACGGACCTGGGCAATACCGGCGGAATTTTTCAGGCATGGTAGCTTGCACCTGCTGTCGAGTCATCCATGAAGGTTGAGAGCCCAAAACAAGGTAAAAATAACTGGTCCATTTTGTGATGATGTGGCTAACTGTTGAAAAACTGACCTTGAACATTGATTGAAAGTAAATTGGGTACTTTCGTCTCTCTAATTGCTGTAATCCATTTAACACGTAAATGTTTGTCTCTTGGGAACTCATGAAAACTCAAATGCGGTTGTTTTGCTGTTTCAGCAAAAAGGTACGCTACAGTAACACTTGCTATGCAGCTCCATTTCGCCTGTACGTCCTAACCACTCTGTTTACCCTGCTATTTTTTACTTCCGCGTTCCCAACGGAAGTGTGAAAAGGGCCTATGGAGAAGTTTGCCCTGAACATGGACTTACAGGCTGCTCAGCCTTCCAGGCTGCATCCCGCCCCCTCGATCACAACTAATTAAATGACAGCATCGTCAAACAGCTCCGCCTTCAAGTTAATCAATGAGGTGGTGGAATCACGAAGCCGCGCTGGGATTGAGCATTTCAGCCGGTTCAGCCTCAGAAGCCCTGCTGCTGCTGCTGCTGCTGGTGGTGGTGGTGGTGGTGCTGCTGCTGCTGCTGCTGCTGGTGGTGGTTGTGCTGCTGCTGCTGGTGGTGGTTGTGCTGCTGCTGCTGGTGGTGGTTGTGCTGCTGCTGCTGCTGCTGGTGGTGGTTGTGCTGCTGCTGCTGGTGGTGGTGCTGCTGCTGCTGTTGGTGGTAGTGCTGCTGTTGCTGGTGGTGGTGGTGGTGCTGCTGCTGGTGGTGCTGCTGCTGCTGCTGCTGCTGCTGGTGGTGGTGCTGCTGCTGCTGGTGGTGGTGGTGGTGGTGGTGGTGGTGGTGCTGCTGCTGCTGGTGGTGGTGCTGCTGCTGGTGGTGCTGCTGCTGCTGGTGGTGGTGGTGGTGGTGCTGCTGCAGGTGGTGCTGCTGTTGGTGGTGGTGCTGCTGCTGCTGCTGGTGGTGCTGCTGCTGGTGGTGGTGGTGGTGGTGCTGCTGGTGGTGCTGCTGGTGGTGGTGGTGGTGGCGCTGCTGGTGGTGCTGCTGGTGGTGGTGGTGGTGGCGCTGCTGGTGGCGCTGCTGGTGGTGCTGCTGGTGGTGGTGGTGGTGGCGCTGCTGGTGGTGCTGCTGGTGGTGGTGCTGCTGCTGCTGCTGCCTCTTGCTGGTGGTGCTGCTGCTGGTGGTGGTGGTGGTGGTGCTGCTGGTGGTGCTGCTGGTGCTGGTGGTGGTGGTGGTGCTGCTGCTGCTGCTGGTGGTGGTGTTGGTGCTGCTGCTGCTGCTGGTGGTGGTGGTGGTGCTGCTGCTGCTGCTGCTGCTTGTTTGGTAGGTTAAGTTATAAACATAAAGACATAAACACATTGTTTGTAACGTAAGGTCAGCTGTAAATACGACTGCATTGTTGGAAATATCAGTAAAAATGACTGAAACTGCTCATCATCTGTGTTTACAGAGCTAAATAGAGCTGTTTTTAGCAGGTTGGCTAGCTAGTAAGCAAGCTAAAGAGCAAGCAAACAGAGCAGAATTGCAGATACAGCGTTGATGTGCTGAAATTGAGAGGAATAACACAAACAGGACTGTCCTTCATATAAATAAAACGCTGGTATCTTTTTACTGAGGTTAGAATGTTATTGTAAAGTGCTTCCATAGCTGAAAAGGAAAATATGCATCCTGTCAGTCTGATTGCAATGCAAGTGACACGAAAACAGGCTGACTAGAAGTTTAGCTCTATGGCTATTTCATAGTTTATCAACTTTCTGTAATGTACAGAGTACTTGCCTCCAAATCAGATACTGGAGTACCTAGATGCTTTCCAGGCTGATTTAACTGCACTTTACAGGCTGATGAAACAAATTTAACAAGATTAGATGCATGATACTTATATATTAAAGCTGCTCTGGCTTTTTTCTGAGTTACAATATACTTATGATTAAGTAAAATTGGAGCAGTCTAAAAGGATAATAGTAAAGATTAAAGCCACAAGCCTGAGTAGAAAGCCAGTGATTATTTCACTTTGTTGGTTGTTATATGCCTTCCAAGCTGATAGAAAAGCCAATGAAAATTTACTGTAATTAATTTAACATGACTTACGTAAGATGCCTCCAAGGCTGATTAGACAGCCAGTGATCATTTTACATTGTTGCTTAACATTGTTTACGTTTGATTATCTTTAAGGCTGATGTAAAATGTAGCATGTTGAAAGGCTGACATAGAAATAGTGCCACCTCACAGGCTGATTTGAAGATGCATAATCACTTTCATGGTGTTACTTTTTTATATGCCTTCCAGGTTGATGTGAAGTAAACTAGCCTCAGAGGCTGATAGAAAAAACTTTTCTCATCAAGGCTGACTAGAAGACCAAGGATAATGTACTGTAATTTATTTAACATGACTCAAGATCCCTCCAAAGCTGATTAGAAGGCCAGTGATTATTTTACAAGGTTGTTTGACATCATTTATGTTTTCATTTACCTCAAGACTGGTGTAAATGCCTCCAAGGCTGATATAGAAGTAGTGCCACCTCACAGGTTGATTAGAAGGTCAGTGATTACCTATTTGGTGTTACTTAGTTATATTCATTCCAGGCTGATGTGAAGTACAATAGCCTCAGAGGCTGATGGAAAACACCTCTGGCTTTCCAGGCTGATTAGAATACAAATGATAATTTACTGTAATTTATTTAACATGACTGAAGATCCCTCCAGAGCTGATTAGAAGGCCAGTGATCATTTCACATTGTTGCTTGACATCATGTATGTTTTCATTTACCCTGGTGTAAAAGGTGCTATGCTGAAAGGTTAATAAGAAATACTGCCACCTGACAGGCTGATTAGAAGATCAATAATCACTTTTATGGTGTTACTTTGTTATATGTTACTGTTACTGATGTGATGTAAACTAGCCTCAGAGGTTGATAGAAAAAAAACTTATCAGGCTGACTAGAAGAACAATGATAATTTACTGTAATTTATTTAAAATGACTTGCATGAATGCTGATTAGAAGTTTAGCTCTATGGCTATCTCATAGTTTATCAAATTTCTGTAATTTACAGAGTACTTGCCTTCAAGTCAGATTCTGGAAATACCTTGATGCTTTCCAGGCTGATTTAACTGCACTTTACAAAGGCTGATGAATCAAATTTAACAAGATTAGATGCATGATATTTATATATTAAAGCTGCTCTGGCTTTTTTCTGAGTTACAATATACTTATGATTATGTAAAATTGGAGCGATCTTAAAGTACAAGTGGAAGGTCAGTGATCATTTCACATTGTTGCTTGTTATATGCCTTCCAGGGTGATGGGAAAGCCAATGAAAACTTACTGTTGATACCTCACAGGCCGATTAGGTCAGTGATCACTTATTTTTTGTTACTTTGTTATATGTTTTCCAGGCTGATGTGAAGTAAATTAGCCTTGGCGGCTGATAGAAAACATTTTTACCTTCCAGGCTGATTGGAAAGCCAAGGAAAATGTACTGTCCTTTAATTAACATGGCTTACCCTTTATATTGTTGCTTAACATTGCTTCTGTTTCGATTTTTAAAAGACTGATATAGAAATGTTGCCATCAGACACGCTGTTTAGAAGGTCAGTGATTACTTATTTGGTGTTTAGTTATATGCCTTCCAGGCTGATTGGAAGGCCAATGAAAATTTACTGTCATTTATCTAAAAAGACTTACTTAAGATGTCTCCAAGGCTGATTAGACAGCCAGTGATCATTTTACATTGTTGCTTAACATTGTTTAATTCCAATTTACTTTAAGGCTGATATAAAAGGTGCCATGTTGAACGATTGACCACCTCACAGGCTGATTAGAAGGTCAATAGCCACTTTTTTAGTGTTAGTTATACGCCTTCGAGGCTGATGTAAAGTAAACTAGCATCAGAGGCTGATGGAAAGCACTTGTAGCCTTCCAGGCTGATTGGAAGGCCAATGAAAATTTACTGTCATTTATTTAACATGGCTTACTTAGGATGTCTCCAAGGCTGATTAGACAGCCAGTGGTCACTTTATATTGTTGCTTAACATTGCTCATGTTTCAATTTACTTCAAGGCTGATTAGAAGATGCATAATCACTTTCATGGTGTTACTTTTTTATATGCCTTCCAGGTTGATGTGAAGTAAACTAGCCTCAGAGGCTGATAGAAAAAACTTTGCCATGTTGAAAGGCTGATATAGAAATATCTCACAGGCTGTTTAGAAGGTCAGTGATCACTTATTTGCCTTCCAGGCTGATGTGAACTAGCCTCTGAGGCTGATAGAAAACACCTGTTGCCTTCCAGGCTCATTGGAAGGCCAATGAAAATGTACTGTTATTTATTTAATGCGACTTAAGAGCTCTCCAAGGCTGATTATAAGGCCGGTGATCATTTCACATTGCTTAACATTATTTACATTTTGATTTACTTCAAGGCTGATGTAAAAGGTGCCATGTTGAAAGCCTGATATAGAAATATCTCCCAGGCTGTTTAGAAGGCCAGTGATCACTTATTTAGTGTTTATTTATATGCCTTCTTCAGTCTGATGTGAAGTAAACTAGCCTCAGAGACTGATGGAAAACACCTCTTGCTTTCCAGGCTAATTAGAAGGCCAATGGAAATGTACTGTCAATTATTTAACATGACATAAGATCCCTTCAAGGTAGGTTAGAAGAACAGTGATTGTTTCACATTGCTTGACATCATTTACGTTTTGATTTACTTCAAGGCTGATGTAAAAAGTCTCATGCTGAAAGGCTGATAGGAAATAATGCCACCACACAGGCTGATTGGGAGGTCAGTGGTCACTTTTTTGGTATTACTTAGTTGTGTGCCTTCCAGGCTGGTATGAAGTACACTAGTCTCAGAGGCAGATGGAAAACATCTTTTGCTTTTCAGGCTGATTAGAAAGCCAGTGTTTGAATTTACTGCAATTTATTTAACATGACTTAACATGCCTGCAAGGCTAATCAGTAGCCTACAGCTTTTCAGCTTTTTTAGCATTAAAAGACAGTATACTCCAAGATTGCTGTAAAGCCTGTCACCTCCCAGGCTGATAAGAAGGCCAATGAACATTTCACGCTGTAGCTTGTTCCGTAGTACTCAGTCATGTGCCTTCAAAACTGCTGCATGAAAAAGGCCACCAGCTGATATGAAAGACTGATTGATTAGAAGCTTGATTAGAAGGCTAATCATCATTTCATATCACAGCTTCTATGGCATTGCATTACAGTGTTCATGGCAGAGGTAAAGGCAGTGGTCTGTGAATAAAAAATCTGCTTAATGGATAGCTTTGTACACTCTTCAGAAGCCCAAGTCTGTCTGGCTGTCCTGCATGGTGTGGAAAAATTATTTGTTTTTTTTTGTTTGTTTGTTTGTTTTTTTTACCATTTTTGTGTTTTTCTTGATTGTTGTATTAGCAATCTTTATTTAATGTCAGGCGTAGCTTTACATATGTGATGAAACCATACATGACTAATTTTTTTATTTAATATCATGTATATATATATATATATATATATATATATATATATATATATATATATATATATATATATGGATATTTCATATTTTATTCAAATGGCTGTAACTACTACACTCATTGTCCATTTTATCAGCTCCGTCTATAGGTGTGCTTTGTACAATTACAGACTGTATATCTGTTTCTCTGCATACTTTGTTAGCCCCCTTTCACCCTGTTCTTCAGTGGTCAGGACCACCACAGAGTACTATTTGGGTGATGGATCATTCTCAGCACTGCAGTAACACTGACGTGGTGGTGGCGTGTTAGTGTGTGTTGTGCTGGTACGAGTGGATCAGACACACGGCAGTGCTTCTCTGTGGGGGTCCTGACCATTATGGAACATGGTGAAACTGGGCTAACAAAGTATGCAGAGAAACAGATTGACTACAGTCTGTAATTGCAGACCTACAAAGTGAAACTATGGTAAGTGGAGCTGGTAAAACGGGCAATGAGTGTAGAAACAAGGTAGATGTAGTTTAATGAAGTGGCTGGTCAGTGTGTAATGTTATAAATCAGGTTATAGATTTGTGAAATATGTGCCTTTATTTTCCAGCAATGGAGGCAAACTGGACTGCAGCAGTGGAGAACTCTCTTTGAAAAGAAACAAATCCTAATGTAAAGAGGACAATTTAAATACTGTCTGGTGAGAGTCAAGATGGCTTTATGTCATCACAACTGCACTACCTTGAGGAAAATGGGCTTGGCAAATTTGTGGGCATGAGGAAAAGGCATGACAATCAGTTTCAATGGTGATGTGAAAGCCAGTCACTGCAAGGGGAAGTCTACTGGAGACCATCAATTAACAAGGGGCCTATGTATCTTTCACATTTGTGAGCAACAACTGTTATAAAGGGTGCATTATACGACTGATGAGCCACCACTCTGGACATGATCCTAACAGTGCCCTTAGAGAGCAGTGTTAACCGAATTCACCCTTATTGACTACATTTATACCCTCATTCAGCAGGGTCATACAAATGCTGAAGTACTGCTCTGTTGCAAAGACTGGTCAGACACCCACAGCAAGTCATACCTCAAGGACAGACGGTACCACGTAACACCTGATGATATTACTTTTGTACGGAGAAGCTATAATGCACACAGTCGCATGGATTCAAATGACTGTTAGTGTGGACCGATTAATCAAGAGTAAGCTTAAAGATGACATCATCCACTACCAGCCTCTATCACACTCTGAAAAGCAGGCACTCATCATTGTTTTTAGCACACCTTGGCAGAGAGAGCAACTGAAGAACTATGGGTCTATGGTTTATAAACCTGACATAGCTTGTTGACATGGGGGTCACTCCAGGTCAGTTCACGTGTAGCCTGCCCAACCACGTTATGGATTTCAGTGGGAAAAAAAATAATAAAAATAAATAAAGCAAAGACAACTATTCAAAATAGAAAATCTTACTTCATTTAGTGTATTCGTTCTGAATTTACAAGACCTGCCCTATCAGGGTCTAAATCTCATCTTAAATATTAAGTTTAACTGCTTGTAGAATAACTTAACTAAGTAGAAACATTAACTGCAATGCTGTACAAATACAATATCAAGAATTATTTTTCACTTTCTGTCAAATGATTTCATGTTTAGAAATTCCTACCTGTTAATTTATCAGAGGATGTACTTTTGTGTAAAGTTGTCTTTACAATTAAATATTTAATTTTATTTAATTTTAGTGTTCAAAATTATCTTTGTAAAATGTTGATTTTGTGTAGTATTCCTACATTTCAGTCAAACCTACAAATTATAGTATACTTAAAGCTAGACAATGAATTCAGAAGGGTTTTATGAAAAAAAATCCATATGGTATTTGACCCTTTTATTTTTTTAAAAGCTATTTTGAAGTCAAGATCTAACTTCCAATATAACATTCAGAAATGAATGATTCATAGATTTGCTAGAAATGTAGCAACACTGTATAATTTATTTTATTTAAAAAATGTGAAATTCGTAAGTACTGCCTCCAATAAATTAACTTCATTTTGGAATTTCTTAACATAAAAAAGGTTGATTTAAAGTAATTTAAAGTGTTGTATCAGTACCCCGTTAAAGAAGTAACTCTGTTAATAATACTAATGTTGCTAACAATGAATAAAGGCCAATAGTCACAAATTAGTGTAACTCACACATTATACAAGATAATTCTTTTTTTTCAATTCATTGTTATTAACATTAGTATGTATAGGTGAACTATTCCTTTAATAACTTATGACTCTAAGGTGGATCTGCTGATCAGGGAATTTTACACAAACCTCTGGAAATACATATCAGCTTAAAAGCATGCTGTCGTTAAAGCAAAAGGGGGACACATCACCAAATACTTAAAAAGTCTGGAATTCAAGTTAAAATTTCAGAGATTCTACTTTTGATTCTAAGTGTTAAGCTGATAATATAATTTGTAATGAAAAATTATGCAAAATAGAAATATTATCACTTGTGGTCCGATACTTTTTGGACCCCACTGTACATTAGCAGCAAAATGTCAGGTAAAAAAAAAGGACTAGCATGTGATAACCATAATGACAATTAAATTTAAATTGACCACCCATTTGGAGGTAACACTGTGTAAGTCTACTTGGCAGAATACTGTAGGATCACAATTGTTTGAAAAGGATGGATACTTATTTGAATAATACCAGGTGACCAAGTGCCACGTTGGTGTCTCGCTCCTCTAAGTTCACCTAATTGAAAGGTACATGTGTTGCTACGAGGTGGCCAAGGCTTTGACTCAGATCTGCTACCTCCCCTTAAAGATAGAAGAATATTGTCATTTCTGTTAAAGTGCTGTGTGGTTCTGTGAATCTGAAACTCTTAAATAAACCTAAGTAGCCCTGTTGTAATTATGTACATTCTTAGAAAGTACTGCACAGGATACAATCATTTAGATTAAAATATCAATGTAAATATTCTGTACTGGACTAAATATGTGGTAATTACTTCACTGTACTGTACCCTCTGTCAGCTTGCTGCACATGGATGTCAGTGTTGTAACTGGCCTTGGACTGACCCCTACACTGTCCAGCTCTGCCTTGAGAGTGGCTTTTTTGTTTTTGTCCATCCTCAGGTATGCCACATAAGAAGCGAGGGACATACCCTCTGGTGGCCCAACTCTCCTTTTCAGCTTCTCTACAGTCACTGAATATCTTATTAGAGATTCATGTCATTCAGGTCAAAAAGGGCACTATACTCTTATGGGTCTACTTCTTCACTAGCTTAATGTCTTATACTACTGATCATTTGAACTGTGAGTTTGCAAGAGAGCTCAAATGACTGTCAACACTACGTGACTTCTGCTTTCTTGGTTTATTTTTTATTTGGCCTATGTCTTCATGTTTTGTGCTACATTACAAATCTATTCTAATATATTACATGGAAAAAAATCTCATCATATGAAAGCCACATCACACTCACATATTCATAGTTTTCATCGTCAAAAACCTAATGTACAAACCTCTTTTTACGATGCCCAAATGCAAAAGGTAGGATGGCCTCTACCTCTCTAAAGTGGATCGCAGCAGGAGAGGTATGGCTGAGAGGGGTTAGGAGATGGGGGAGTGACTAGGTCATGAGGCCCAGAGGTGGATGCTACTGTTTCAGTGGTTGGGATTGGTGATGTTGTTGATAAAGTTAGGGTCGAGGAGGTCGTTGGAATAGGTGCTGGTGATGATACAGTGACTACTTAGGAGGTTTTTGGAGTAGGTGCTGGTGATGATACAGTGACTACTTAGGAGGTTGTTGGAGTAGGTGCTGGTGATGATACAGTGACTACTGAGGAGGTTGTTGGAGTAGGTGCTGGTGATGATACAGTGACTACTGAGGAGGTTTTTGGAGTAGGTCCTGGTGATGATACAGTGACTACTGAGGAGGTTGTTGGAGTAGGTGCTGGTGATACAGTGACTACTGAGGAGGTCATTGGAGTAGGTGCTGGTGATACAGTGACTACTGAGGAGATTGTTGGAGTAGGTGCTGGTGATGATACAGTGACTACTGAAGAGGTTGGTGGAGTAGGTGCTGGTGATGATACAGTGACTACCGAAGAGGTTGGTGGAGTAGGTGCTGGTGATGATACAGTGACTACTGAAGAGGTTGGTGGAGTAGGTGCTGGTGATGATACAGTGACTACTGAGGAGGTTGGTGGAGTAGGTGCTGGTGATGACAAAGTGACTACTGAGGAGGTTGTTGGAGTAGGTGCTGGTGATACAGTGACTACTGAGGAGGTCGTTGGAGTAGGTGCTGGTGATACAGTGACTACTGAGGAGGTTGTTGGAGTAGGTGCTGGTGATACAGTGACTACTGAAGAGGTTGTTGGAGTAGGTGCTGGTGATGATACAGTGACTACTGAGGAGGTTGTTGGAGTAGGTGCTGGTGATACAGTGACTACTGAGGAGGTTGTTGGAGTAGGTGCTGATGATACAGTGACTACTGAAGAGGTTGTTGGAGTAGGTGCTGGTGATGACAAAGTGACTACTGAAGAGGTTGTTGGAGTAGGTGCTGGTGATACAGTGACTACTGAGGAGATTGTTGGAGTAGGTGCTGGTGATGATACAGTGACTACTGAAGAGGTTGTTGGAGTAGGTGCTGGTGATGATACAGTGACTACTGAAGAGGTTGGTGGAGTAGGTGCTGGTGATGATACAGTGACTACTGAGGAGGTTTTTGGAGTAGGTGCTGGTGATGATACAGTGACTACTGAGGAGGTTGTTGGAGTAGGTGCTGGTGATGACAAAGTGACTACTGAGGAGGTTGCTGGATTAGGTGCTGGTGATGATACAGTGACTACTGAGGAGGTTGTTGGAGTAGGTGCTGGTGATGATACAGTGACTACTGAAGAGGTTGTTGGAGTAGGTGCTGGTGATACAGTGACTACTGAGGAGATTGTTGGAGTAGGTGCTGGTGATGATACAGTGACTACTGAAGAGGTTGTTGGAGTAGGTGCTGGTGATGATACAGTGACTACTGAAGAGGTTGGTGGAGTAGGTGCTGGTGATGATACAGTGACTACTGAAGAGGTTGGTGGAGTAGGTGCTGGTGATGATACAGTGACTACTGAGGAGGTTGGTGGAGTAGGTGCTGGTGATGACAAAGTGACTACTGAGGAGGTTGTTGGAGTAGGTGCTGGTGATACAGTGACTACTGAGGAGGTCGTTGGAGTAGGTGCTGGTGATACAGTGACTACTGAAGAGGTTGCTGTAGTAGGTGCTGGTGATGATACAGTGACTACTGAGGAGGTTGTTGGAGTAGGTGCTGGTGATACAGTGACTACTGAGGAGGTTGTTGGAGTAGGTGCTGATGATACAGTGACTACTGAAGAGGTTGTTGGAGTAGGTGCTGGTGATGATACAGTGACTACTGAAGAGGTTGTTGGAGTAGGTGCTGGTGATACAGTGACTACTGAGGAGATTGTTGGAGTAGGTGCTGGTGATGATACAGTGACTACTGAAGAGGTTGGTGGAGTAGGTGCTGGTGATGATACAGTGACTACTGAGGAGGTTGTTGGAGTAGGTGCTGGTGATGATACAGTGACTACTGAGGAGGTTGTTGGAGTAGGTGCTGGTGATGATACAGTGACTACTGAGGAGGTTGCTGGAGTAGGTCCTGGTGATGATACAGTGACTACTGAGGAGGTTGTTGGAGTAGGTGCTGGTGATACAGTGACTACTGAGGAGGTCATTGGAGTAGGTGCTGGTGATACAGTGACTACTGAGGAGATTGTTGGAGTAGGTGCTGGTGATGATACAGTGACTACTGAAGAGGTTGGTGGAGTAGGTGCTGGTGATGATACAGTGACTACTGAAGAGGTTGGTGGAGTAGGTGCTGGTGATGATACAGTGACTACTGAAGAGGTTGGTGGAGTAGGTGCTGGTGATGATACAGTGACTACTGAGGAGGTTGGTGGAGTAGGTGCTGGTGATACAGTGACTACTGAGGAGATTGTTGGAGTAGGTGCTGGTGATGATACAGTGACTACTGAAGAGGTTGGTGGAGTAGGTGCTGGTGATGATACAGTGACTACTGAGGAGGTTGTTGGAGTAGGTGCTGGTGATGATACAGTGACTACTGAGGAGGTTGTTGGAGTAGGTGCTGGTGATGATACAGTGACTACTGAGGAGGTTGCTGGAGTAGGTCCTGGTGATGATACAGTGACTACTGAGGAGGTCATTGGAGTAGGTGCTGGTGATACAGTGACTACTGAGGAGATTGTTGGAGTAGGTGCTGGTGATGATACAGTGACTACTGAAGAGGTTGGTGGAGTAGGTGCTGGTGATGATACAGTGACTACTGAAGAGGTTGGTGGAGTAGGTGCTGGTGATGATACAGTGACTACTGAAGAGGTTGGTGGAGTAGGTGCTGGTGATGATACAGTGACTACTGAGGAGGTTGGTGGAGTAGGTGCTGGTGATGACAAAGTGACTACTGAGGAGGTTGTTGCAGTAGGTGCTGGTGATACAGTGACTACTGAGGAGGTCGTTGGAGTAGGTGCTGGTGATACAGTGACTACTGAGGAGGTTGTTGGAGTAGGTGCTGGTGATACAGTGACTACTGAAGAGGTTGTTGGAGTAGGTGCTGGTGATGATACAGTGACTACTGAGGAGGTTGTTGGAGTAGGTGCTGGTGATACAGTGACTACTGAAGAGGTTGTTGGAGTAGGTGCTGATGATACAGTGGCTACTGAAGAGGTTGTTTGAGTAGGTGCTGGTGATGATAAAGTGACTACTTAGGAGGTTGTTGGAGTAGGTGCTGGTGATGATACAGTGACTACTGAGGAGGTTGTTGGAGTAGGTGCTGGTGATACAGTGACTACTGAGGAGATTGTTGGAGTAGGTGCTGGTGATGATACAGTGACTACTGAAGAGGTTGTTGGAGTAGGTGCTGGTGATGATACAGTGACTACTGAAGAGGTTGGTGGAGTAGGTGCTGGTGATGATACAGTGACTACTGAGGAGGTTTTTGGAGTAGGTGCTGGTGATGATACAGTGACTACTGAGGAGGTTGTTGGAGTAGGTGCTGGTGACGACAAAGTGACTACTGAGGAGGTTGCTGGATTAGGTGCTGGTGATGATACAGTGACTACTGAGGAGGTTGTTGGAGTAGGTGTTATGCCTTGTGTTTTTGCCTGGTCTTTTGTGTTTTGTCTTCATTTCAGATTCCATCCCGTAACTTCACCCTTTCTGCTCCCGGACCCTGCTGATCCATTCCATTCCATGGTTTCATCTCCTCCCGCCTGCTTAAAGAGGCCCGGATGGCTTGGTTGTTGGAGTAGGTGCTGGTGATGATACAGTGACTACTGAGGAGGTTGGTGGAGTAGGTGCTGGTGATGATACAGTGACTACTGAGGAGGTTGTTGGAGTAGGTGCTGGTGATACAGTGACTACTGAGGAGGTCGTTGGAGTAGGTGCTGGAGATGGTTTCATCTCCTCCCGCCTGCTTAAAGAGGCCCGGATGGCTTGGTTGTTGGAGTAGGTGCTGGTGATGATACAGTGACTACTGAAGAGGTTGGTGGAGTAGGTGCTGGTGATGATACAGTGACTACTGAGGAGGTTGGTGGAGTAGGTGCTGGTGATGACAAAGTGACTACTGAGGAGGTTGTTGGAGTAGGTGCTGGTGATACAGTGACTACTGAGGAGGTCGTTGGAGTAGGTGCTGGTGATACAGTGACTACTGAGGAGGTTGTTGGAGTAGGTGCTGGTGATACAGTGACTACTGAGGAGGTTGTTGGAGTAGGTGCTGGTGATACAGTGACTACTGAAGAGGTTGTTGGAGTAGGTGCTGATGATACAGTGACTACTGAAGAGGTTGTTTGAGTAGGTGCTGGTGATGATAAAGTGACTACTTAGGAGGTTGGTGGAGTAGGTGCTGGTGATGATACAGTGACTACTGAGGAGGTTTTTGGAGTAGGTGCTGGTGATGATACAGTGACTACTGAGGAGGTTGTTGGAGTAGGTGCTGGTGATGACAAAGTGACTACTGAGGAGGTTGCTGGATTAGGTGCTGGTGATGATACAGTGACTACTGAGGAGGTTGTTGGAGTAGGTGTTATGCCTTGTGTTTTTGCCTGGTCTTTTGTGTTTTGTCTTCATTTCAGATTCCATCCCGTAACTTCACCCTTTCTGCTCCCGGACCCTGCTGATCCATTCCATTCCATGGTTTCATCTCCTCCCGCCTGCTTAAAGAGGCCCGGATGGCTTGGTTCAACAGGAGACTTCCTTATTGTACTGCTATTGATTTTGTGTACACCTTGTAACTCTTGCCGGTTTTGCTTGCTATTGACCCTGCTTTGTTTTGACTACGATTTAGCCTGACCCTAATACTGTATATATCTTGTATATATTTGTAAATAGTAAATGTGAACTGATTGTCGGGAGTGGCTGCCATTTTGTTTGGGAACGGGTTTGTCTGTGTGTATGGTTAGTCAGGGAGGTAGGTTAGTATACTGTCTTTTATTTATTTTTGTTTGTATGTAGAGTAGGTAGTTGTGTTGTAAAGTTAGTGTGGGGTTGTTTGTTGTTTTGGCCTGGGCCATTCCTGACGTTGTTTGTATTCTTCTAACAAGTCACATAATACAGTCTTGAACTTAATAGTTACGTCTGGTGCTTTGTTTCCTCTCCCACATCACATCTAATTCATTCTCTCTTCATATTGTTACGGCCTAGACCGGGTCATAACAGTAGGTGTTGGTGATGATACAGTGACTACTGAGGAGGTTGTTGGAGTAGGTGCTGGTGATGATACAGTGACTACTGAGGAGGTTTTTGGAGTAGGTGCTGGTGATGATACAGTGACTACTGAGGAGGTTGTTGGAGTAGGTGCTGGTGATACAGTGACTACTGAAGAGGTTGTTGGAGTAGGTGCTGGTGATGATAAAGTGACTACTGAGGAGGTTGTTGGAGTAGGTGCTGGTGATGATAAAGTGACTACTGAGGAGGTTGTTGGAGTAGGTGCTGGTGATGATACAGTGACTACTGAGGAGGTTGTTGGAGTAGGTGCTGGTGATACAGTGACTACTGAAGAGGTTCGAGTAGGTGCTGGTGATGATAAAGTGACTACTGAGGAGGTTGTTGGAGTAGGTGCTGGTGATGATAAAGTGACTACTGAGGAGGTTGTTGGAGTAGGTGCTGGTGATGATAAAGTGACTACTGAGGAGGTTGTTGGAGTAGGTGCTGGTGATGATAAAGTGACTACTGAGGAGGTTGTTGGAGTAGGTGCTGGTGATGATACATTGACTACTGAGGAGGTTGTTGGAGTAGGTGCTGGTGATACAGTGACTACTGAGGAGATTGTTGGAGTAGGTGCTGGTGATGATACAGTGACTACTGAAGAGGTTGGTGGAGTAGGTGCTGGTGATGATACAGTGACTACTGAGGAGGTTGGTGGAGTAGGTGCTGGTGATGATACAGTGACTACTGAGGAGGTTGTTGGAGTAGGTGCTGGTGATGACAAAGTGACTACTGAGGAGGTTGCTGGAGTAGGTGGGCAAATTCTAGAGGCAGAGGGGAGGGTATTGCAGGGTTTCTAATGGGCTGAGCCTGGACAGTTCTTCCTACAACAGCAAGCCATAGACAGAACCAAGCATGCAAACTGTAAAAAACTCTAGGACAATGCTGTGAAACAGACTGAAAAATAATAATGTATAGAGATTTTCCCATGAGCCTTGTAGAGACGTATCCTAAACATTTTGTAAATATGTTACTTCTTATGTATTGTAACTGAACACATGAGCAAATACATTTAGGAAAGTGTATTCAGTATTCTGCCCAACTCTGGCTGTGTCACAGACTTACCGTGTATTCTTCATGTTGGTATACCTGGACAGTAAGGAACAGTAATATAAGAACTAAGCAAAAGTATTTACACATATATTTTTACAATATAATGAACCTAAATGTATTAGTCATTTAAGTAGCAAGAAAAGAAGAAGTAGCAAATCACCCTCACAGAATTTCTTATCTATGCCTCTCAAAAGCAACAGCATGAAATGATTTCAGTCAGAAAAACTTTTACCTTCCAAGTGGCACAGCACCCAACGTGTTGGTCCTCCGAGTCCTGGTGGTCAGTGGATTAAAATCACCTCTGGAATTACAAACCTGACATAAGCTATATGCAAAATATATGCCTTTGGCATTCTGTACAGCTAAATAGTCACTAATAGTTCATAGAAGTACATTTAAATTAAAATGTGAAATGATAATTAGCTATTCATCTTTCTGACACATAATCTTTTCTAACAGCTTTTGAGGATTTTCACTGATACATCAGCTTTAGATATGTGAAGTAGTGAAGGCTTGAATGATTAAGAAAAGATAGTAAATTATCTTTTGCCTCCTAACCAGCCTGGAAGATGCTAGTCTTTTCCAACAGCTCTTGAGATTAGAGCACTGTACATCAGCCTGGCATCTAATTAACTGATGCAAAAGAAGCTAAAATATACAATGAACGTTAGTCTAGTTAATAACCTGGTAAATAGCCATTTCCTAAGCCTTTAAAGATACTGCAATTTACATTAGGCTGGGAGGTGCTGCTCTTTTCTATCAACTTTTGAGGCTTAATGTATTGTATGTCAGCCTGTAAAGCATTTCTGTAAATTATTTCAATGTGAAACATTTTTACCTTCTAATCAGCCTTGGAGGCCTATCATGCTTTGGGGCTACTGATATTTTACGTCAGCCTCAGAAGGATCTTACTAACTAATGCTAAAGAACCAACAATAAAACATGATTGCTTGCCTTCTAACTGAGGAACTAGTCTGTCCTATCTCTCTTTGAGAACAGTACCATTTTAGCATTGAAGTCATCTAAGTAAATGCTGCCAAAAAGTCTACAATATGAAATTATTGGCTTTCTAATCAACATGGGCGATGCTAGTCATTCCTATTTGCCATTTAATCTAGTACCTTTGTCAGCCTTGCAGAAATATAACTTAGTCATACCAAAAAAGACACAATGTACAATGGTCACTGGCTTTCTAATCAGCCTGCAAGGTGCTAGTCTTCCTTATCAGTCTTTAAAGCCAGTCCTTTGAACATCATTCTTGAAGGAACCTAACTAATAATGAATACGTTATAACAAATCATTGTTGGTCTCATCACAATGGGATGTGATTCTCTTATATCTGCCTTTAAGGCTACGCCAGACCCAGATATGTCTAACAAACGAATGCAACAAAAGCAACAATGTGGAATGGCCATTGGCTTTCTTATCAGCCTAAATGAATTTTCTTTTCAGTCATTTACAAGTGTAACTACCTGTAGCTACCAGAAAATATGGAGAGAGACAGAATCAAACAGCACTTTTGTAGCTGAGAGTCTTATGAGGCTGAAGATTTTTCTCTACTACTGTTCTCATCTTCGATGAGGGAAGTGGTCTCTGATCAGGCAGGGCGTCTCGAGCCTTAACAGTATGAGTCACTGACTCAAACCGCTGAAGAGTTATCGTAATGACAAAAAATGATTAGCAGTGAACGGCAGAGGTACCAAACGGTAGAACATAAAAAGCCTAAAACCGCGACAGTAGTTTAGTAGTAGTATCTGTTCAGCAGGTCCATATTCGATATGACCCCAGTCCTGATTTCTCAGATGCCCTGAATTCTGAATGAATAAAGTGGATTTTTTTAACTCTGTCCAAGTTACATTCAGTTTGACATCAAGGTTACAGACTGCATCACCGGTCAGCCAGGGTTTGCTGCAGTGGCCCTAAATCCTTATGTTCTGCAAGCTGTTCAAGGCACTTACTGGTGTTACATCCAATTCAGTTCCCCCTCAAATTCACGTTCCCCTTCATAAACCAAACCCTCAGTGCTGCACTAACTGAACAGAAAACAACGGCAAGCAGCACTGGAACTACAGAAAAGCGAGAAACGTCAGAGAAAGGCTGTACGGACGAAAGGTTGATACAGTCGGCCATGTAACGTTAATCTTTCCTGAACCATTTCACCTTCCGTAGTTCCAGTGTTGCTTTTTGTTGATGTCTGTTCAGTCATCTGTTCAGTGGGTGCGCACAGACGCAATGTGAACATCTTTACTCCAAACTAAGCTCAGATTAACTGGGTTATTTACAGCTGGTACAGACAGCTGGCAGATCACAGCCTTGTGAGGAGGTGCGGGGGTGTTTAGCTCAGCGTGTGATGGTGGTCCTTTCCTCACTCTCGGCTCCTGTGCATTCACATTTATCAGCGCGAGTAGGGCATCATCAGGGGGCGGAAACGC